ATTTAGTTATTTAAAAGAAAAATAACTAATTATTATAACTAATAATCAAATTGTAAAAATTTGAGACATTTTTATTAAATTGAATAAAATAGTGTACTTCATACATAAACTTTTAATGTATTGTCATATCCTAGAATTGGTAGTGTTTATCAAGGTAAATTCAAATGCTGTGGTTGGTTGTTATATGAAAATAAAATACATTTAAAACAAATAAAAAATGTATTTTTAATTTCGATCAGTAACGTAACAATGGAGGTGAAGGGGTTACATAAGTGGCTATAGTTTATTTAAAATAAACCTAAGGTGTCTACCTATGTATAGAAATATGTCTACCTATGTACAGAAATATAAAAGTAAAATGAAATTAACAATTACTATAATTTTATTTTTTTTTTAAACCGAAATACTAAGTCTTTGAATTATTTACATAATTTATATAGAGATTACTTATATAGTTTAAAATCAGAAATTACATATTAAATGGAACATATTACATTCCATATGGCAGATATAGTTTTTATTAAAAACTAGAAAGGTTCAAAATATATGAAATAATTGACATATTTGAACAATAACATGGGCGATAATATATAATAATGTAATATAAAATAAAAAAAAACATACGTATATGCTGTGCAATAAATTTATTAGGTATTATGATATATATAAAATATATTAACCAAAAAATTTTTGTGTTATATGCAATGTGCTAACAATTTTCAAAAGAACAAGGCTGTCACTGAACACACCCATCAAATCATTGTTGTACTGAATGGATGGTCACTCATTTCCAAATAATGTTAGTGGAAAAGCTCCGTTACTTTATTTGAGTGCGCAAATATCTAACAAATTTTTAAATTAAATTTATTCAAATATATAAAGTGAAAATAACGTAAAATATATTAAAAATTGTTATAATTCTGTGTATAGTGTTTGAAAATAATAAAAGATGTGTGGAAAATGTGAAATAAATTCAATTTTAAAACTTCGCGTATTTTGAACAAATTAATGGTAATTTTGTGTGTATGGCCCACAATAAAATTAGTTCAGTCTGCTAAGCAAAAATTAAAAAACTGGATAATTGCGTTTTTCATTATAATTGGTATTTAAATAAGTGGTTACAGTTTGGAAATATTAAATTGCGATTCCGATAGCTATTAAGAAAGTAAACACAATATTACGTTGACATCAGATCTGCGGCGGCCATATTTAAATATCTCTTGGGTAGCAATTAATATTGCAAGGATAGCCAAATTAAATAAATTAAAAAATATTTTATTTATTTCATAATTTCAATCCGTTTATTTCTATTGGAGCGATTTTTAAAAGGAATGAACACAACATTTTTTTAGAGGTAATTAAAAAAATTTGTTTAAATTTAAATTTATTTATTTACACATATACATTAGTACATTAAAAAATTATTTATTTACTTTGTATACAACACTTTAAAAATATAATAACAGAAGCCATAAATTATAATTATAAGAACCATAACAGACATTGTAGCTCAATTACCAAAAATTGCAGTTATATTGTGTAGTAAGTAAAAGGTAATAATCTATGTTCTTAGATACACACGTACATACATACATGCAAGGATGAAGATAACACATATGTTTGATGTTAAAACATACAATAATTTGCAATAAATGCCATTCTACTCTCTAACTGTAAATATTACAATCAGAATATTTTTACAAGATTGCAAAATAGCAGTTCAAATAATACAAATAAAGTTGTTATTTTAGTCAGTTAGAATAATATCAACTAAACTCTTCTTGTGACAATCAATATAGTCATGTCTCTAGTAACATAATCATACTGCATCGGTTCCACTTTATTCTGGCAGTAAATTTAACAATATTCCAATTAGAAACGTTTTTACAGAGTCTTATAAAATAAAAGCAATAAAAAGAAGGTCTCTTAAAACTGAACGATCATCTCAACGAAGTGGTTGGTGATTGGATATGAATGGTGGTTGGATGTAGACCCTGCCGTTCTTGGAAATAATTGCTTGTATATTAACAATTATAATATTTATACAATATTGCAAACTATCAGTTTGAATAATACAAATAAAGTTGTTATTTTAGTCAGAATAATATCAACTAAACTCTTTTAGTAACAATCCATATAGTCATGTCTCTAGTAACATAATCATACTACATCGATTCCCCTTTATTCTGGCAGTAAATTTAACAATATTCCAATTAGAAACGTTTTTACAGGGTCTTATAAAATAAAAGCAATAAAAATAAGGTCTCTTAAAAGTGAACCATCATCTCAACGGAGTGGTTGGTTATCGGATATGAATGGCGGTTGGATGCAGACCCTGCGGTTCTTGGAACTAATTGCTTGTATATTAACAATTAGAAGATTTATACAATATTGCAAACTAGCAGTTTGAATAATACAAATAAAGTTGTTATTTTAGTCAGAATAATATCAGCTAAACTCTTATTGTAACAATCAATATAGTCATGTCTCTAGTAACATTATCATATTACATCGATTCCACTTTATTCTGGCAATAAATTTAACAATATTCCAATCAGAAACGTTTTTACAGGATCTTATAAAATAAACGCAATAAAAAGAACGTCTCTTAAAAGTGAAGGACCATCTCAACGGAGTGGTTGGTCATTGGATATGAGTGGCGCTTGGATGTAGACCCTGCCGTTCTTAGAACTAATTACTTGTATATTAATGATGTGAGATAAATATTTTATAATCAGTTCTTTAGTTAAGTGAGAGCAAATGAGAGCATCTGAGAGAGCGTAACATCCCTGTCGAAGTTTGAAAATGCTACACACACTTTACTCGTATATTTTATTTCAAGTAAAATTTGTGTTGATGTGTGAATCAGCTGTTTTGGTTTGAAACGGACGGACTAAAAAGTCCCCTACATTCTCAGCTAAAACTCCTGTAAATCCCTGCAGTACGACCAATTAAGGTATTCCTTCACAGGGCAGGATAGAAGAGCACTTAGCGTGCTTTCACTCCGATTGTACTAAGTATTTCGTCCGCTCTAACAGTGTTTGTTGTTTTAGATATTATGCTCTTGTAGAGGCTCCATTGTTCAATGCTTGCCAACATTTGCATTACTACAGTAGGAGGGCTGGCTTATACAGTCTCTAATTATATGGTCGGGGTTTTGGTTTGAATTGAAATTTTTGTATTGTTTATTTGTGCGGTACTGGTGTTCTCACCAGACTTTTTCACTTTTGAAATTTATCTGGTTCGTCTTTTTAATTTGGGAAAAAAATTAATTTCTTGCCCCCAGTGATGATTGGGTTCAAAAGTGGATCGTTTTATTGCTGTATGAGAAGCAAATCACAGACGTGATTTTCAATCACAATTTTTTCTTCACAATAATATAATATATCAATCGTAATCGTGTCTTAAAGGAAGTTTTATTTGGCTAAGATATTTGCATGTATTAACCTGGAATTCATATTTTACTATTATCATTGTGAGTGTTTTTGTTTCTGATATATCACGTCAGTTATATGATTAATTTTAGTTTTTTTTTAACTGAGCTCTTTCAATGTTTGTGTTGTCATTAGAGGTTTTCCAAATTATTGGACACCCAATGTCCAAATTGTGTTAATAGTACTCTTGCATAAAATAATCTTATAATCTAAATTTAAATGAATCTGCTGTTGAGCACCTTATGTTAGCTGCTTCCATTATATTTCGACTTATTTATTTTATATATTTTTGTCAGATTAAGTAGCCTTCTGAGTGAAAGCTTACATGGGTAACATAATCTGCTTGAGGTATAACTGTGCTATTTAGAGTAATTATCGGCTTGGTCTTTCTGTTGTGAGAGAAAGTGTTAGAGTGACTGAAGTGTGAAATTGAGAGGTTTAAATATATATTTCACGCACATAGTTATTAATATTCTAAATATTATATGAAACTAACTTTAAAAGCTCCGTACACTTTACTTAATATCTATTCAATCGATTTAGCACATTTTGACAAAGCAGCAATTAGAATGAACTTTATCGAAACTATGTAACTACTGAATGGAAACTATTCTAAGACAATCTGAGGAGAGTTCAAAATATTCTATAAAATATTAACTAACACATGAGTCAATCTGATATGAATATTTCAAACAGGCTACGTAGAAACGAGAAGAGTTGCAAAATATTTCTCTCGACCTTTATTGTCAATACAATATTAACATTAAATGTTCGAAACTAATAAGATTGGATTTTGAATTATTTCAGTAATAAGTACTATAAATGTAACAGTATATTTCAAGCGGTACTCTGATGACACTTAAATTTTCTGCTGATATAACCGTGCTATTATAAAGTAATATATCAGAAACAGATATTAAATTTTTTACTGATATTTAAGCAGTTATAGAAGCGTTACACTCTCCATATATCAAATCTAAAATCAGTTTATCCCGTGTTGTCTCTCTAAACGAGATAAACAGACATAATAATATATTCGTCATCTGGATATTAGAAGATTATGATTACCATTGTAACTGTACGGCAGATGAGCTGGCACGCAAATGTGCTTTATTGACCTATATCACTAATACTCTAGGTATTTACATACCAA